TTTTGAAGATTTTCTTAGTTTCCTTTTCCCTATCCTCTGGTTTATCATTCTTAAGGTAGTTTTAGAGTGTTGGTTCAAACTAGTTAAGAGTATCTTCTATAAGTAGATTAGCAGCAAATAATACTTTATTATACTTATAAGTTAGTTCTCCTTTATAGTATTATATATATGCTTTAAGTTAGGTTAGGAATTTTTAAAGTATTCCTTTCATTCTATTATAAAGGTTAAGTTTCTTAATCTTTATTTGTCTTAATCCTCCTTCCGATGCTTCCTTCTAAAGTTATATAATTATAGCTTATAGTCAAGCTATTTTATTGACTATATCTTATTAAGTGACAGTCCCAGCCGCCAAGGCCAGTCAAGGTAGGTTGCTAGAAGAGCTTAGGGTAGATAGGGTAGTAGTGGGTACTATCTTAACTGTTTGGTTATTGTTTATAAGGTATATCGTCAACCTACTAAATAAGAGCTTTTAACATATAATGATCCTTCCTATCAGTACGTCAATAGATAACTAAGGGTCCTTAGGTTTATATCCTAAGATAGGTTAAAGAGTACTTAAGCAATATTCACAAAAGTAGATGATCGTAACTTGTTAGATCTTATTGATTATAGAATTAAACTATAGTATTAAAAGCTAAAGAGCTAGTCTCTTTATCTTTAGGCTTATAATCATAAGCATAATCTTATATAAAACTATAAACCTATTAGATCACCATAATCCCTTGATGATCCAAATAGTAATCTATTGCTGGATCATCATACTTATAGGGTGATCCATCGATGGATCACCGTATTTGTATAGTGATCCCTATCTTATCTATATGTGACCTATATTCTGCCCAGTCAGGCCGCCAGCCGCTTACCGCGGGGTGGTCGAACTTCTGGCCGTGACATCTTATGGCCCTAGCCTCTTCGACCTAGGGTACTGGTATAATCAACTTACGATATATATATAAAGTTATAGTCGTACTTTAGATACTCTTTGGCTATTCTATATGGTTTAACCCTAACGATCCTTACTCTAGCTTATATAGTGTTATAGTAGCAGCTATCGTAAGAGTATAGAAACGAGCCGCTTAGATTATCACTAGCATATTCTATATAATAGTAGGCGTAGCATTGGATATAGAGAGTTATCTACTCCTAATGCTATAGCTACTTGAAAAGATAGCATTTGAGGCTATAATATAGATTCGTATTATACTATTATATGTCGATATAGCCTTGCCCTATAATAGCGAGGGATCTTTAAGCTAAGCCTAACGTTGACTAAGCCTTTTAAACCACTTTTTAGGTATGTTTGAAAGGAAGTTTAAGGTATAGCTTAATCGACTTAAGTAGTGTTAACCATATGTTGTGGCCTTATAGTGGAGGGTACCTTCTGTTTAAATTAATTTATTAGCAGAAGAAGCAATTAGAGAGTATGATAATATGAAATATAGAGTGATATATATTTATATAGACGGTAGTAGAATCAATGGCTATATTAGAGCGGTAGTGGTAACTTTATCATAATCTGAAAACTATATTCGAATAAAAAGATTAGAGTATATAGGTATAGTAAGCACCTCAACAGTATATGCTATAGAACTTAAGGGCCTTATACTTAGATTGTAAATTGTGTAGGATATATAGGTATGTATCGATAACTCTGATGGTTATATCATCTTTACCGATAATCAAATAGTATTCAAAGTTTTATAAGAACTAAAGTGTCTGTTTAGACAATATATCCTTATTAAGGTAGTAAAATTGCTTGATGAATTTTAAGAAGCTAGCTAGGATGTTTAATTCTGTTGGATCCTAGTATACGTTAGTATGGCAGATAATAAGGCGGTAGATCAGGCGGTAAAGGAGGCTATAGACCTACATTCAGACAGTATCATTATATGGTAAAAAGACTCCTAACCTAGGATCTTAACGGTAATACTGAAAACAATAATATATTAGGCGGCTATAGCTAAGTGAGAGTATGCTTAGGAGACAGTATGGTATGGTAGAGTGTTGTTTTGACTTAGAGTCTGTTTTAAGAAAGGCTTACTTAAAATATATACTAAAGTTTATAAAGTAATCAGCTTTATGTTAGCATAAATATATATAGATAAGATTAGCCTCCCTAGCTACCTTTATAGAATCAATAGAGTAGATACTAATTAATATAATTATAGCTAAAGATGATAGATAGTATAATATATTCTGTTAGAGTATAGGAAATAGACTGAAGAATGATATTTAATATAGGTAGGTAAGCAACTATATATAGACATTAAGTATATTCTCTATAATTTAGTTAGTATAATATATATAGTAAAGATGATGATTAAGATAAGCCTTCTAGAATAATTTTGGGCAGTCTTATCCATAGTACTTTAATATATATAAGCATTATTAAGCGATTATTGGTAAACAGAAGGAGAGGAAGGCTAGGAAGAGCCTGACATATTTATAGATATAGAATAGATAGAAGACTAGATAGAAGAGCGATTATATTCAAGCTAGACAGAAAGTAGCACTTTACGTAGGAATGGATTGTTTGGCAGACAGACTGATTCTTACGTAGAGTGGCTGATCTTGGAAAGCGAGAAATGGATGTACCTATATTTTTAGTTGTTTGCTGTATAGCCGCCTAAAGGCGGCTGGGATAGTCGATGAATAAAAAAAAATAAAAAATAAAAAAAAAATCCTGCGCCGTTTATTGCGGCGCCCTACAGCTGACAGATAGACTAATCAGAACACGGCGCTACGATGCAAGTACGAAAATCAATACATTAAAATGTAAACCTCCGATCTTTTGGAGATTCCAATTTGATGGTTTTCGGCAATGGCTTTCTTTTGAACGCATCATGTAGTCACCCAGGACTCTGAATTGGTTGCCTCATTGAAACAGAAGAGTAATTAGTATCTAGTTCCTAACAGCAGTATGACTGAATGCAATCCATGTAAACAAGAAGAAGCCTCCAGAGTGTAGAAAGGAACCCAAAATGTTGCTTCTCAAGAAGCGTAGATAGACGATGAAGTACTTTGTGCGGCAGGCCTGAGAAGACTTACACTCCCATTACATAACCAGTGCCAAAGGAACAACTATCGGCATCCAATATGATATTTAAGATCTGCAATGGACAAAGATGGTGTACTTTCCCCCAAGAGAGATTATTATAGCTCAGTTGCTATTTATAAATGAGATTGAATCAGATCGAGATTATTCGTACGGCCCATAGCTACTCTTCTGTCGAGGTTGCAGAAGTTCACTTGTTTTTCCCACGCCCGGAGACATTGAAAACGGAGCTCTGGATAAATTGGTCGTTGATGTATCTAAAACAACAAGGCTATGCCAAAGAACGGCAATCTAATTCATTCAAGTGTAATTACAAGCCTCTTCTTCTTTGCATCCTCTGTGTTCCAAACAGACTGAACATCGCTGAGTGGTGCAGTAAACACATCGGAAGGCCTTTTCATCTTGCCAATGGCTGCCACCAGGCCAGGTGTCTCCTTCTTGATTTCTTCCACGCTGAAGCTGCCCATGCCCGATCCTACAATGCTGACAGGCTTCTTGTTCAGTAGGCCGGTTGGCAACAGAATGTTGGGCTCGCCGCCAAGATCGCCAATATGAATGTACTGCAGATTTCGCCCAGGAGCAACCTCGGCCACCGTCATGAGCTCAACTGCGGTAGCGCCGCCGACGTAATCGAGAATGATATCGATTGGTCCAAGATCTGGCGGAAGCACTGCGGGCTTGGTGAGGACGACTCGCACGTCAATCCCCTCCACCTCGGCGAGCGTGGCCTCGCTGCGCGACATTGCTATCACACGGGCAGCGCCGAGAGATTTGGCGACAGTCACGGCTGCGCGACCACTAGTCCCTGTTGCACCGACGACCAGAACTGTTCGATCCTTGCAGCCCCCAACAGCACGAGCTTGTAGAGCCATCCAGCTGCTCGCGACTGGGTTTATAAGAGCGGCCACCGTAACGGGATCGACTCCCGGCTCAAGTTTGACGAGCTGGGACTTAGGAACATTGACGCGCTCGTTGAACATCGAAACACCACCCTTTGGGTCGAGGGTGACGTAGTACCTATCGCCGGTGATTTCGTCTAGGCCGACGCCGTCGACGCTCGGATCGAAGGGAAGGGGCTGGCTCTTAGAGCTGTAGTGTAAGCCAGCAGCGCGACCCTGTACAGCTCGAGGCACGCCAACAACCAGGACTTTGAGTTGAAGTTCATCTGAAGTCGGTGCTGGGATGTCCGGAACGTCCATGTACTCGGGTGGCTGTCCCCATGCTGTAACTCGTGCGCCTTTCATTGCGACAGATGGACTGGGGTGAAAGAAAGAGGTTTGTGGATATCGACGAATAGGGAAGGTTGTTGGTCTAGAGAGTCTAAAAAGACCGAATCGATTGAAAATGAGTTTTGCAAGGCACATGGTCTTGGATATGCACTGACTTGGGTGATTGTCTTGGTTTCTTGATTGTGAAATTCACGGGTCTTATTTATTTAGAAGTCGTGATACTTTACATGACGCATCTCGAAATACATGATCAACGGGATTGAATGCCTGTCCCTTACGGGGCAAAATTGTAGTCTTTCTAGGTTGAAGTTCGTGTAAGCCGGGGTTCAATCCCGCTTCCGAACGCTCACAGGATGGGTTGCGGGTCCTGTAGTCTGAGAAGCGGACGCGCTAGTCGAATCCCGAACGGCTTTGGGAATCACAGATCCTCTTGCTCCTTCAACCCTCCGTCTATGTCAAAATTCTCCTAGACTCAATGGTAAAATTTGCCCGACTATAATAGATGATGTAAGGTACCAAAAGTTCTTCCCTTAAATTATGCCAATTATTCAATATCCTGCCTCAGAAACAAATCCTTCCCATCTTATCGACTGATACCTTTACATATAAGTAAGGAGATTTCCATATACTCTTCCATATATTTCACAGAAAACCACAATCAAGGCTTAAATCTTTAAAGCAATAGAATCAAAAGAAACCTACCTAAGATTCCTTCTCTCTATATATACTATCATTCAACTTAGTATCTTCTGATTATTATAAAGATAGGTTAAAGTGAGTCATCTAGGAAGGTCGTACTATCATTATATAATGTCTCTAAAGTTCTAGAGGAGAGAGACGACCTTGAAAACCTGCCAAGGGCCGGATCTGATATAGTGTAAAATGCCGCCCGAATCTTGCCCTCGCCTGTTTCCTTCTTCGTGAGTTGGCCAGTGCTGCAGCTGCTTTAACTTGTGCAGTGGGTGTGCGATGAGTGTGCGGTAGATATGCTGAGTCTGTTGACTGTGGCGTTGTTTGGGAAGCGTTAATCTGCTAACTTGGTTAAAGTTGCTGTAATGTGTAACGATTGCCAACAATGGGGATAGTAAATAAGGGTTCTAGGTTTGCATCCTAAGATAGATCGAGGATGTTATAAGCAATATACAAAGGATGATTATGATTAGGGTAGAATATTAATATAATAAATCTATATATAATAAAACTTACAACTCTGCGAGAAGTAGGGATCTTAGTCGGCCCCGAATTCCATTTTAGGTCTCGCCAGCGATACTCTGACCTCAGCCTCGCTCCGATTAGATAATGACCACCACTCCCTTCCCCATGGGACATTTCATCTATTCTTAACCCGACTTCCTGACACCGAATCAGGCAATGACGTTGGACTGCTTTGCGGCTTGTCTTGTCCACCGATCCGTCTACCGACTCCTCCACGGTCTGGTCTACTGGCTTGTCGACTGGCTCGTCCATGGGCTCGTCCGAGATGTTAGCCATTCTTGGGATGTTCGTCATAGCATGGCTCAGGTTGAGGTCATTATCTTGCGTAGAACAGGGTTCTTGGCTAGATATGGTAAATACAAACCTCAAGACATCTCCATCTTTCGGATTCAGTCAACGGCTTGTCTTATAGTTCGTGTATAGGTCCTGCAAAGACTGGCTAGAAGCCCTCCAACCAGTTCTCTAAGATCAGTTATACTCAGCCTCTGAAATGTGCAGATGAGGGGAATAAGAAAGTGAAGGAACTAACTGGTATTGGCTCTTGACGGGATGATACGATTCTTTAAGATACTGTGTAGAAAAGATGGCACGCCCCGGAAAGCAGCCGCGTGTGCCGCAAAAGTTTCGGGGTTCTTTGGATCGGGCGTGGGAGTGAGGCATTCATCTTTGGGCGATCGAGGGAGAAGCGGGAGACTCCGAATTGGATTGTCTCTTGTCCCAATATAGCCAGCTGAGACCCATTGGAAACTCACGCAAGATAGATATGCTGCGAAGATTTTAATGATGGTATAAACGCGCATGATATGAAATCAGCAGAACAAAAGATACAATATTGAGATATGCAGATAAGATTCAAACAATGGCAAGGAATGCAGTGAGCGTGGTAAAGAGAGAAGATTGATTTGGTGATGTTCAGCAGTATCAACATCTTTCCACTCAGAAGGCCATTCTTGGTCTTTATAATGTGTTTGAACTACAGCAACTCAGGAGTGCTGTGAGCTATTTCGATCGAGGCAGTTGCAACTGAACCAACAAGTGCGACTCAGTTAGGCTGTCTGCCGCTATAACAAGCTCGCAGACGCCGGGTCAGTATCGAGCGGGCCTCTACCTGTTTCATGAAGACCAACAGCAGAAAACTACATGACGGTCCATTTTGGCTGTGAGGCTGAAAAGCACCTGGAGCCTCTACATCGACAGTGAGTGCGCCTAAATAACCTTCTCAGCGGCTACAGATGAAGGGGACGTTGTTGGCGGATTACTCGTTGGCAAGCGCATGCATACGTCCCGGTCATCTCACGGTTTTGTGCTTGGACACCCGTCCTGGGCTGGACTCTGTTCATAATTATGAGTTGCATGAGTTCAGTCGTAGCTTGTGCATGCCGAGTTGGAGCATAGTACGCCATAGAGTGACCGATGTAAGTGCACCACCACTCGACATTGTGAAGTTTTGTGATCTTGTGGTGTGATTATCGTTGATATCTGTAGAAGCTTTACCGCCTGTTAACAAGGGTGTCATGCCAAGCAAGCGGGTGGCGTTGCGGTGCCTGCGGTCAGGGAAAGTGAGAGAACGTCGCATTCGCGCTTATATCGTTCTATTGACACTCGACGACGATCAGCTAGCATGGGAGTGATTGTCTGGGGCATGGCGGATGGGCGACTTGATTCGTACGTTTGGGTGATGGGAAGATGCAGTTGGTACCTTGCATAGCTGTGCCAAGTATTCGGTAGCGGGCAATCGAGCACAGTTCAAGCCTAGAATGATGCAAGGACACACCGCGCTTACTGTTGGATTAGACACTAGATACGAAACAGATTTTAAGAGTTAACTTTTATGCTTAATAAAAAAAGGTGTTGTGCAGGGGTGGAGTGAGTGAAACCAACAACTGGTGGCTGAGTTCTGAGTCTTGTCTGCCAAGACTGATTGGTGGGCGGCGAGTTAGAATTGTTTGGCTGAGTCTTGGACCCGAGCATCTGGAACCGAGCGCCCGCAAAATCTGAGAGTCATCTGCTATTGGCGCTGATAAACACGGCGCCAATAGTCTAATTCTGGAAGAATGCAAGTGTAGCATATGAGGTGTCTTGAGTCTTCTCACCCCCGCGGCGCAGTTAGGCATATGAAACAGACAAGTTCGTGTTGGTTGTCAAAGCTCCTCCTCACAACAACACTTTGACATTTGAGCGCGCAACTTTTCCTCTCCCATTTCCGCAGTTCCTTTCCTTCTTCATCTTTTACAACTTGAAAAGTGCTGCATTCACAGTCAACTTCATTTCAGAGCATTGCCACTAGAATCAAAATTTAATATTTCACCCCACTGCAGTCATGCGCGCATCTCGCTGCTTGTGTCAGTTGATTATCGTAGGAGGTAAGTTACACCCCGCAACTTACGGGCAATTGATCTCTAATTAGGGAGCAGGAGTTAGTGTAGTATTCGCACAAGCATCGTGCGGTACTACTAGAATCGCATCGCAAGAAGACGCCGATCAAGTCAGCGGCGCCTGCTCAACGCTCAATGGGGACATCGTGATTGAGCAGTCTGCCAAAGGCGATATCCGACTAGATGGGATCAAATCTATCAAAGGCGCCATAAAAAGCGATGGATCTTCGTCCATAGAGTCACTGAGCAGCACAACCTTGGAGACCATATCCGGGGACTTCTTTCTCCAAGGACTCGAAGAGCTGACATCGCTTGAATTCATTCAACTCGAGAGCATTGGGGGAGACCTTCATCTTGACTCACTGAAGAAGGTTGAGAATATCACTTTCTCAAACCTGACTTCGGTTGCCAACTTCAATCTAACCACCGCGCCTGTTTTGATAAACTTCGACATCGACAAGCTGACCAACATCTCGGCACCGGACTCTTCCTTCACTCTCGCTGGGGTGGGCATCAACTGGATTAGCAATATTTTTGCAACTGTTCACTCTGCCGTGTTTAAAGACAATACGATCAGTCGCATCCAGTTTGAAAACATGACGATTACGGAGAATCTTTTTATCCTGGATAACGACAACCTCGAGGTGATCAGACTTCCAAATAACATGTCATCGAATACTTGGGACACTATTCAAATCAGCAACAATCCTTACCTTAGGAGTTTCAGTATTCTTTACCACGACGCGTCAAAACAGTGGCCATGGGACATCAAGCATATTCACAATATGACTATCACTGAGAACTCTCTTACAAGTGATTTCTTGTATGTAACTTTTGTATACATCCCTCTTTGAGAGGACGTTAACATATCGCAGTGAAACCTCGACGCCGGCGGGTGTAAGAAGGGATCCGGGAATAGATTCCATTGACAATCTTGTCGTAACGTCTACTGATGTCTTTAATTGTTCCGTTCTTGACACACTTCGTATCGAAGGTGTCATCAAGGACAAATATGAGTGTCAGGGACGGACTGTTGCAATTGGAGGGAACACCAAGGATAACGCCTCTGCACCTCTTGGGGTGAGCATGATCTGGCTAGTGGCCGGCCTCGCGTTGCGTACGCTATTCATGAGTCTCTAAAATGATTGACTGATTGGGATGAATGACTGATATCTTTGTCAATTTTTCCGTTTATAGCAAGGCGTTGTAGCATGTTGTGGATGGCATTTGGAGCGACATTTGGGTTCTTAGTTCGAGGAAACACGCAGTTATCACATAGTTTACATGAGTTCAATTACTACTAGAATATATGATCATTTCGTTGAATAAGGTGACGTTATGCAGGTACCGGGCCCTGGCTTGAGCCTACTCGGTCCTAAGATATTACTCGAAGGAAAGAAACGCAGTATGCAGCATCTTGCGGGAAGTCATTCTTGTAATGCTGGACTGAGATAGCCTACAACCTCTTCCCGTGTCCTGTTCATCTCCTTTAAGTTGCTTGAGAAGCATCCTAATTCCCTAATCTCTAGATAGACCAATCTAATGTCGTGAAAAGAAATATTGACCACGGTTAATTAGTCACTAGTCAAGGATTTTCCTCTCTTTTGCATTCTACCATTGATGCAATCTATAGACTCATATTCCAAAAGTTTTTATTCTTGCTACGCTGACATTCACACCGTCTAAGCTCGATACCATTAAGTCTACCGACTACATGATAGCTCTTTTAAAGTGGTAGGGAGTCAAGGTTCCTGATAGATTGGCCAAAATTCTTGACCGTCATTTGAACCATCATACCAATAACCTCTCACGAGTACCTTGAACTCGGTCTGCTTATATCTTTTGGCGAGCTTTTTAGATTTCTCTAGCAGAATTATAGACAGATGCTAGCAAAGATGTTTTTCCTATCCAATAGAAGCCTACCGTCTTACGTTTAGCTTGATAATATCAAGATAGAACTATCAACATAGTTAGCTAATATATTCCTCCAACAGCGTCAGTAGTAGATATAGATAAGAGATGTATGACTTGATAGATCAGACGATATAATAGTTCTCTAAAGACAGTATAAGACTAGCCTTCTTCTATAATAATAATATAATATTTTATATTCTTTTGCTTAGGTTTTATTTCTACGTTTATATTATCTTACTCTTTCTTGCCAACGGTTTAGACCGCTCTATATCTACTCTTTATTGTTACCAAAACTTTATAAACGTTAGAATCCATAATGTCATATCCTCACTATCGATAGCTAGTTCGCCAATCACGATGCCTTCGCCAAACTAGAACTATGTTAGATCTTGCTTCGTAGGATACGGCAGGAACTCATCATACTATTTTGGTGATCTTCTACATTAGTTTATCCTCATCTGTTATAGTATCTGTTAGGAGGCGATACTCTATATCCGCTAGATCGAAGGGGTCAATGAAAGGGTGCTGGTCTTGGTATAAGGGTAAAATTGAGGGATATGACGAACGAAACCTACAGCCGGCTTCTCATGTATATATCCAATACGCTATAGAATGAACCTTATAGAAATCTAAGTCGTAAGGTATCTTGAGCTGCCTGGAGACTTGTGATGTTTCAGAAAATTGGAAAAGGTCGGGCACTGAGAGGAGGAGTAAATGCTGCCTAAGAGGTGGGGCAAGCTTCAAGTGCCTAATTAGAGATTGATATGCTTGCTTCACGCGATATTCAGGGAGGTCGCTGGTGGATGGTGCCAATATAGAAGAGACCGCGAACTAGATTTCTCCAGGCTGCCGCCACTATGGGCGGGCCAGCCTGATCTATCATGGCACAGTACGAGGAACACAGAGGACACACGTATCACGATACCAAGGTGATGCTGGATAGCCTGTCAGTCCTGGGTGGTGAAGCAAAGTGTGTTGTGTAAGTATCTAAGTAGGTGTGCAGTGGAGAGAGTAGCTAAGGTAAGGTAGGTGGTATAGGTAGTAGATGTCATATGACCGAACAATCTGAAAGCAATATAAATGTTCGTCTTTATATGATTCAACGCTTTCATCATATTATGTCTTTTGTAGCCGGCCTCTCTTCTTGACTATACCTTATAGCTTAAAGGCCTTTAAGGGTATAGTTCTTAAGACTTATACTCCTCTTATCAAAGTATCAATATTATTTGCCTTAATCGTCTTTACTCTAGACTTCTTACACTTATCTAGTGTGACTTTTCTCGAATATCTTATGACTAAGTCTAATAGCTTAATATCCTGCCTCGGAAACAAATCCGTTCCGTCTTATAGACTGATACCTTTAACTGATACCTTACATATAAAAGAGGAGAGTTCCGGGTGCTCTTTCGTATATCTTCACAGGAAACCACAATCAAGACTCGAATCTTTGAGCGACAGAATCAAATGAAGCCTACCTGAGAGGCCTTCTCTCTATATACGCTGTCGTTCAACTTAGTACCTTTCGATTAATATGATGACGGGCCAAAGCAAGTCATCTAGGGAGGCCGCGCTATCACTGCGCAATGCCCCTGAAGTTCCGGGGAAGAGAGACGACTTCGAAAACCCGCCAAGGACCGGATCTGATACAGACGAGACACTAACAGTTGGACCACAACCCACGAGTCCATCAAAAGACGAGCGGATTGTGGAAACAAAAGCAAACACAGAGTTTGTAACCGGAGTAAAGCTGATGGCTCTTCTTGTCACTGTGACGCTCGTTATGTTTCTTCTGCTAGACTTATCAATCATCAGCACTGTGAGTGCAATGCAGACCCAATCCCTTTTGAAATCACAGGCAAGCGAGAGCTAATTTAGTATCTGTATCATTAGGCCATCCCATATATTACCAGTGCCTTCGGTTCACTCTCTGATGCTGGGTGGTATGCCGGCGCTTATCAGTTGGCGAGGTGGGAAATTCATTGGAGACTCTGCAAAACCAATCGTAATAACATCTGTACTGCATAGCGCTTCCCTGCAGCCACTCACTGGCAAGTTCTACAGTCATTTTCAGTCTAAGGTTCGTGAACATCCGTCTCTAAATTGATCCGTCAGCCGCCTAGCGAATGATGTTTTCTAATCTAAGGACAAGTGGACGTTCATCTTTTTCTTCTTCGTATTCGGAGTCGGGTCGCTTATATGTGCCGTCTCCACCTCGTCGCCAATGTTTATTGCAGGACGAACAGTCGCGGGTTTAGGATCTTCTGGTCTCATGAATGGAGGGATGACAATAATTGCCGGAGCAGTTCCTTTAGAGAAGCGACCAGGTGAGCTGAGGAACCCACGTCTTGAATTGCAAAACAACTGACAGAATGCAAGTTTACACGGGGATAATGATTGGCGGTAGGTTCAGAGAGCCAGAAATTGTATCCTCTCACATAGTGACTAACATGTTTACTAGTTGGCGAAATGGGAGTTGTCTGTGGTCCTCTCATTGGAGGCGTTTTTACGGAATACGTGACTTGGAGGTGGTGTAAGTGTTTTCTGTCCAGCTCCAGTGGGAAGTAACGACACGTTCACCAAGCTAAACGGTTGAACATAGGTTTCTATATCAATTTGCCAATCGGCGCCCTCTGCGCCCTGCTGCTAGTCTTTATGAGAGTTCCCGATACCAATCCCAAGCCCCGCTTCTCCCTTGAGCTTTTCCGAAAGCTCGTCCCGGAGCTTGACCTCTTTGGCTTCGCTCTATTTGCTCCAGCATCCGTCATGTTCCTGCTGGCTCTTCAGTTTGGCGGGAATGACTACGCGTGGAACAGTTCCGTCATCATTGGTCTGTTTTGCGGTGCTGGCGCTACGGCCACATTTTTTTGCCCCTGGGAGTACCGGATGGGAGATCGTGCGATGATGCCCGGCTTTCTCCTTAAGCAGCGGATTGTTCTGTGCAGTTTGTTGCACATGGCTTGCACAATGACTCTTGTGTCAGTGCCGAGCTACTTCCTTCCGTCTTACTTTCAGTCGGTCTTGGGAACAAGTCCAACGATGAGTGGTGTGGATATGCTACCCAACATCGTCTCACAGCTACTTCTGATCGTTCTTTCCGGGGCTGCTCGTGAGTATAGTCTCAGTTTTCTACATCTTCGGGTAGTAGCCAGGACTAACCTTTGTCTGACAGTCAAGGTATTCGGTTACTATCTTGTGTATGCCGTTGGTGGAGCCACCGTCTCCTCCGTTGGAATGGGTTTACTTTCTCTCCTCAGTCCCACAAGCACCACAGGACAGTGGATTGGGTATCAAATTCTTGCGGGTGCTGGACGAGGCTCAAGCATGCAGATGGTCAGTCAATTCTGCGCAACAAAGGCATGAACGTCGCTAATGCATAGCCAAACAGGGCATGGTCGCCACTCAAAATGTAGTCAAAGATTCCGATATCTCCCTCGCCATGGCCCTGCTCGTCTTCGGCCAGAACTTCTTCGGCGCCGCCTTCCTCGTCATCGCCAACACCATCTACGACCAGAGCCTCATCTCCGAGATCCCGAGACGCGCACCGCCCGTCTCGCCTCAGGCCGCTCTCAGCGCCGGAGGAAGCGCAAGTGCGGTGCGCTCGCTCCTGCCGGAAGGCAGCCCTACTGCACGGCCTGTTGCAGGCAGACTCGATTGGCATTGACAGGATCTTTTACTTCTCTGCCGCCCTTGCGGTTGCGTCATTCTTTGTCGCCTGGGGGCTGGGCTGGAAGAATGTCGCCGCGAAGAAGCATGCTGCACAGGAATGGGAAGCGTGAATGAGGAGTCTATACGGGGTATAATGGTTATATTATTGGTAATGTGATATCAAATGGCGTTCGATTTTTATTTTTTATTTTTATTTATTTTATACTTTTTTTTTCAATTTCTGTAGTATGAGTGTAAGCATCGCAACTTTTGCCTGACTCGGCTGAGGGAAACTTAGACGAACTATAAATATAGAAATTTCCGCAATTACATTATAATTTTCCGGACTATCTAAACCTGACCAAGGAGACTCAGTTGCTTACTCTCTAGAATTTCTATTCCAATCTCTTTTGGAAAGTTGTACTTTCCCGACTGAAACTCTCGAAACCCTGTCATGGTTACAAATTCAGGAAGTCGTATAAAGTCTAATCCTCCCATCATGCACTGTTGTGACTATCTGGATGGCTACAGGCCTGATGCTAGCGATAAAGCCACATCGGCCATAGGATAGGTAAGGACCAATGTAAGACAAATGACGGCCTAGATTTAAGTGAGGTAGATGGCAAGCCCAATCATTCTGCAATTGTCTGTACACGCTCGTTACCTCACAACCTCAAAGTCAACACGACCAAAGCCATACTTCCGCTTTCAGTCCCCGAACCATGCCATCTGCTGCCGCTCTCACAGTATACGCCTTCGGCGGCATGTGCCTGGTCGCCGGACTCACGAACCTGGCAAAGCCAGAGGACGCACTGGCGGCCCTGGACCTGCCCGCGACGGCGCGCTCCGCCTCCAACGGGATGGCGCTTGCGGCCGTCGCCATAGGACTGTACTATCCGCTGGCCGCTTGGCAGGAGAACACGGCCGTCTTCGTCCTCACTGTGCCGATGCGCCTGCTCACAGCGACGGTGTTCTGGCTGCAGGGCGGGCCGTGGCGCGTACCGGCTGCGTGGGAAGGGTCTGCGGCTCTGCTCACGGGGCTTGCGCTGGCATGGGATCTGCGACGGGCTAGAGGAGGAGGAGGCGAAGAGAGAGATGTGGCGGCGAGGAAAGCTGGATGAGGTAGACGGAAACCTAACACAGAGCCGTCCTGATACACTTGTATCCAAGACTGGGGTTTTGTCTCGACCTTGCAGGACTATAGTCAGCGCCGCGCAGGATCACTGCCATATGGAAGATGAAACCCCCAACCAGAGACAGACAACTCCCTAAGAAATCAAAACCAATAGCAACCGAAGAAGGCGTTATCAAAGACCTATGAAGTGAAGTTCGTACACTAGTCTAGTTTGGTCGAGTACCGCCAAGAGTCTGTCTGGTCGATTCTCACATGTTTCTTGCCATCAAACTTGTGCAGAAGGGGCCTCGGAGAGCGTTTGATGGCAGTCCCGGCCGAAGCGGGCGCGAAGTTTAGTTTAGGACAAGTCAGCGTAGCAAATGTCGGAGCATCGGCGAGACGGTAGCCGGGCAGTCCGGAGCTTCGTCACACTTCCTACCTACTGCATAGTATATGTAGGTAATTAGTGTAGAAACTAAAAACCGAAGCTGGAGGCCCAATGCGAGGTGTTTTGGGCTGCTTGCCTTGGGTGCTGTGTCCGTGCCCAGGCTGTGCACATTCCTCGACTAACTCGAATGGAATTGAACCGACTGTCACTGGTAAGAGCCAAGTACTATCCGCTAATAAACCAACCAACCTGACGCAATCAGCAGCAAGCCATCGGCGGCCGCTAACACCAACGAACGCTATATTTGGGAGGGTACCACCTCCATGCACAGCTCCCGAGCCTCCCGAAGATGCGGCGTGGTAACGTCAAGGCAATGCGATGGAGGCAATAGGTAACCTACCTGGCACAGAAGATACCCCTTATTAGTCCTGTTAGGGCAGGGCATGGCAGGGCATTGGGATTGCAGGGGAATAAAGCTGTGAAGGTGTATCAGATTACCTAGATACCTTCTTGTAGGCCTCGGCGCTTGGCCGGATACAGGGCATGATTGGACCGAGGGACAATTTCGACTTCGAGATTCCATTCCAATTCCTCATGCAGATGCAGGCACCCTGAATGATCATGACATGACACGACACGACAGCAAGCACACCAGGACATCATCTCAGAAGTTCCCCCGGGTGTTGGCCACCCAGGGGGCTTTCATCTTCTCTTTTGTAACCTGTCAGGGCCTGGTAGGTACATTGATGATCGAGTATTCAGGCGAATCCTGCAGTATTGTCGACTGATCGACTACCTATTCTGGCTGCTAGTCTATGTAGCTATCAGGTTTTTGGTAGGCCAGGCTTGGTGAAGCTACATGTGTGTAATGTATACAATGAACACGCGTAATACATCCAATACACCGCTTGGAGCCCTGTTCCTGGTCTTGAAGATCACGGCGGCGGCGTGGCAGATCAGGGCAGCAGGGCAGCAGGGCAGCAGCTTCCCGCGCCGGCTTTAGGCCAGGGATGGTTAAGGTTACTGGGCCTTGCTGGGCCTTTGCTGGGTTGACTGGCGCGCTGCTGCAGGCAATGCCCCACAACCTTCTGGGGCCCTTTGGCGTATCATTGCGTCACAAAATGGAAGACGGGTGTTCTGCCAGTTCAAGAACACCCAAAATCCGCTTTCGGTAGCCAACAAGACCCCGAGACATCTACTCTACTACAGGTGTAGGCAGGTACCACCGTACTTGTAACAGCTTGATGGTCTACGGCGTAGTGCAGTGCAGCAGTGCAGCAGTGCATTATATTAGGTACTACATACCTGGTACATTGCATTGCCTGAAGGACAGGCGGACAGACTGACAGACTAACCTCAGCCCAGCCAGGGCAGGGACTGACACCTACCGGACCTCTTCTCTTGGCCTTTTGTGGGTTACACTACCTCAAGACTACTTAAGCAGAACTAAAGCTACGCCGTAGCTGAGCCTCGAGATGAGACACGCGTATTAGTTAATGTATTTTATTTATTGGCCTGCCATTCATCCTCTCTCTCTCTCTCTCTCGCTCTCGCTCTCTCTCGTTTTCTCTGTTTCCCAGTAAATAAAACGTTTGACTGTCCCGCTCTGGGGTCTGCTCGGGTCCTCTTTCGACTTGATTGATCCCTGCGTCACTTTGAACGTTGATAGACTCCCCCCCACCACAACAAACCCTGTCTGTCTTGCTGACTACCGGTCATCATGGCCGCCCCGCGCAATGCCGTCGCGTGCCTCGTCCTCTCGCTTTTCTCGGCGACCCTCACAGCTGCAAATGCAATTCCATACGGCTCGTTACTAGAACCTCAACCGCTCGATGGAGCGGTGTTAGACCCTCGGGCTCTGGCCAACTCGCCTAGTGGCGGGNNNNTATGCGCCCGCCTATGTCGACTGCCCCTCGACGCGGCCCACCATCCGAGATGCACAAACCCTCTCGGACGAGGAGACCTCGTGGCTGGAGCTGCGCCGGAATGCCACGGTCCAGCCCATGATCGACTTCATGAAGCGGGCCAACATCTCCGACTTTGATGCGGAGGCGTACATCAACAGCGTCAAGGGCAATGCGTCCACCCTGCCCAACATCGGCATCGCCGTGTCCGGCGGCGGCTACCGGGCGTTGATGAACGGAGCTGGGTTCATTGCTGCCGCAGACGACAGGACGCCCAATGCTACCAACACCGGTGGCATCGGAGGCCTGCTGCAGGCGGCCACGTACGTTGCCGGCCTTTCCGGCGGAGGATGGCTCGTCGGGTCCATCTACACCAACAACTTCTCCACCGTCGTCAACCTGCGCGATGGCAGCGAAGGCTCGAGTGTGTGGAGGTTTGACAGGTCCATCTTCCAGGGCCCAGAGCAGAGCGGTATTTCGATCCTTAACACGGCATCGTACTGGATAGACATTGCGGACCAGGTGTCCGACAAGTCGGACGCTGGCTTCGAGAGATCCCTGACTGACTACTGGGGCAGAGCCCTCAGCTACCAATTGATCAATGCGACTGATGGTGGACCGGCATACACCTTCTCGTCGATCGCGGAAGCGGACAACTTCAAGGACGGCTCCATCCCCCTCCCCATCCTCATTGCTGATGGCCGGGCCCCAGGAACTAAGATTGTGTCGTTGAACGCGACCGTGTTTGAGTTCAACCCCTTTGAGATGGGCTCGTTCGACCCGACTGTCTTCGGCTTTGCGCCCCTGGAGTATGTCGCCTCCAACTTTTCCGGCGGCTCCGTGCCTAGCGGTGGGAAGTGCGTGAGGGGATTCGACCAGGCTGGATACGTGATGGGGACATCAAGCTCCCTATTCAACACGTTCCTCCTGCAGAACCTCTCGTCCTTCGACAACGTGCCCTCCGTCATCATCAATGCTGTGGAAGCCATCCTGTCCGACCTAGGCGAGGACTCCGATGACATTGCGCAGTACGTGCCGAACCCGTTCTACGGCTACCACAACGACACCAACCCGACCCACGCCAACATCGAGCTCGACCTGGTCGACGGCGGCGAGGACCTGCAGAACATCCCGCTGCACCCGCTGATCCAGCCGCTGCGCGGCGTCGACGTCATCTTTGCCGTGGACTCGTCCGCCGACACCGAGTACAACTGGCCCAACGGCACGGCCATGCGCGCCTCCTACGAGCGCAGCCTCGGCACCATCGCCAACGGCACGCAGTTCCCCGCCGTGCCCGACGACCACACCTTCATCAACCTGGCCTTGAACCAGAAGCCCGTCTTCTTCGGCTGCGACGTCGCCAACTTCTCCTCGGACGGCTCCATCCCGCCCCTGATCGTCTACCTCCCCAACGCGCCCTACACCGCGGCCTCCAACGTCTCCACCTTCACCGACAGCTACACGCTCGCGCAGCGCAACGACATCATCCGCAACGGCTACGACTCGGCCACCCAGGGCAACGGCACCGTCGACGCCGCCTGGCCCGCCTGCGTCGCCTGCGCCGCCCTCAGCCGCAGCCTCGCCCGCACAAACACCTCCGCGCCCGCCGCCTGCGCCGCCTGCTTCGACCGCTACTGCTGGAACGGCACCGTCGACACGGCCGACCGCGGCAGCTACGAGCCCGCCTTCATCATCGGCAACATGACCACGGCGTCGAGCGCCGCCGGCCCGAGGACGAGGGGGTCCGGAGCGGCGGCGCTCGCGACAACCGTGTGGGCCGCCGCCGCCGTGACGGTTGGCTTGTTCTTGATCTAGGCGATCTAGAGCATGGTTTTCCTTTTTCTGTGTCCTCGGATGGACCCATGTATGCATGCTGGACGAGCAGTATATATCCCCCCTACTCTCTCTGTTCATTCATTATGACTTCATGAGACTGGACGGGCTCGGTGGACGGCATGATTCAGCATTTCGATGAAAAAGGGACGGGATTGATTGGATGGGTCGCAGGGCTCTGGCTTGATAGATATGGAAGTAGGATTGGCTGATTGGCATATGGGATCGATAACGGCGTTCTTGGTTGGGTAGACAAAGCATGGGCGGTAAATTTCCTCATTCTCGTCGCGGGATTAGCAGTGAACAAAGTGAGATACCACGAGGGGAGAGACTCGAGGGAAAGGGGGATGGGAAAATAGGATAACGATATGCGAGTAGGAGAAACATCATCATCTATTGTCATCATGAGAAGACGTCTGTCTTTGCAGTCCCCCCATTTTCCCTTCGTCCACGCTATGCCTTCTCGTCCCAGGGACATTTGAGTTTTGGTATCATACATCCACAAAGCACCCCCCTACTCTAACATATGCGTGTATGTATGCTTCCCGTCCGTCCGTCGCCCCTGTCTTTTATTTGCATCAATGCTGTCCGTCTTGGTCAGCAATGCTTGCACTCGCTATCTGTCTTTCTTTCGAATACGTCGCTTGCGCACATCGGCATCGGGTTTAAAGGTTGGAAAACAAAAATATTTGTCATGAAAACGTGAACATATAGGTTGGGCTGGAACGCTTGCATTCTGTGCTGGATAATTTTTCTTTTCTGAGAACATTGCTGGAGACGTCTCGAGGAGAAATCGTTCGTTGGTATCTCGTGGCACTGACCCCTTGAATGGGAGAAAGGCCTATATCCTAATAAAAGGAAGAAAAAACGTGTCGAGTTATA